TGTTTGCAGGTTGTGTGCTAAGCTGAGAGGATATACATAAAATGCATCAGTTGAGGGGGAGTAACCCAGAATGTTACTCAGTATAGTGTGACATCTGTAATGGTAACTAACAGATGGTTAACTGTGAACAGGTTGAGGTATACCTGTATTAAGAGCTAACTGTGAGGACCATGAAGATAACTCTGAGAGTTTGTTTAGCTAGTGACTTTCCTGCATGACTAGACATGTGATAAGTCTTCTGCTGCATGTAAATCTCTGGTATTAGGGTAAAGTGTTTTAGCCAAAAATTTGCCAAAGAGGGAGTTTGTAAGTGCTCTTGATTGACTTCATTTTGTGGCAAAACATTAGTGTATGTATGTAGGTCATGACTGGTGTTATTACATACATAATGTGGATTTTGCAGGGTAAGTTAACTTAGCTAAATGTTAGTTAAGTTGAATGTTATACAGAATGTCATGGCTCTGATCGTATGACATCCAGCGAGCAGATTATGTTTTTCTGGTAGCTAGAAATCAAGAAACTTATTAGAAGCTCAAGCTAAAAGACAAGAGACATTTTAGAAGCCCTAAAGCGAAACAAATGCTCCTGAATTAAATGGCAAGTGTGTAGATTATTGAAGAAAGGTTTTGTTATGATTAAACCTAATTTATGCACCCAGGCCCAAAGACTGACTGCTGCAATAAAAACATAAGGAGCAATTCTAGAAGAGCAGCTCTTGACAGAAGATTAGAGAGTGCGTATAGAGAGTCCTTGTGAGTCAAGAAGATTGTTCTTCACGTTTGTATTGTGGCTTAGGAATACTTGTTCACCAAGCAATTGTCTGCTGTAGAATTGCATTGCTTATGTAGTTTCTAAAGCTGGTGTAACACTCAAAGCTGTTAAGCAAGAGTGATGTGTTCTTGATCAAAGCTGTGAAGCACGATCAAGGTGTGTTTGAAGTATAACTTCAACAATCATTAGTAATTGTGTATTGATATCACTATGGTATGATTGAGGGGGAGTGAGTGGGCATACTCAGGTCTAGAGTGTCTCTAGGTTGAAGTGTCATTGGGTAGGTTTTAAGTGAGGAGTGTAAACTGGAGGTTTAAATCTGAATTAATTCTGCTGATAGTGAATTTCCTCCCTGGCTTGGTAGCCCCCAGATGTAAGTGTTGTTGACACTGAAGTGGGTAAACAATTATTGTGTTATTTACTGCCTTTCTCTTTACAACTTTTTAATTATTCCAATAGTCTGTGTTACAGTGGATGTCATAACATCCGTGAATACATTCATCGCGTGCTAGCCATAATTACAATAATTATCAATATATGAACAAGATAAAATGCAGATAACAATTGTAATGAGACACAAGCAATTGTTGACCCAGTTCGGTGTAAACACACCTACGTCTGGGGGCTACCAAGCCATGAAGGAAATCCATTAAACAAAATTAGTTTGAAGACTAACAACAAACTCTCTCTAGTTTACAATCTTCGCACCTGATTTCTACCTATGTAACTTCTATCTAAGACACTCTCAGATATGAGACACCTCTCACTCCCCCTCAATCACATGCAGTGATAAAAACAGAAAATCAAAAAGTAGAAGACACACTTCAAGGACAACACTTGATCTTTCTTAAAAGCTTCAATCAAGAACAATGCATTCGTGCTTAAAAGCTTAGAGTGGACAACTTACAACTCAAAGAACTCAGTCCAATTCACACATCAAAGTGATGAATGAATGGTTCACAAATAACAAAAACACAAGAAGGTAAAACCCTATTCCTTAAGCAATACACCCTCTCAACCCTAGCTTCTCTGATCTTCAAATAGGATTGTACAGTCTTTATATAGAAACACTTTGTATGGGCTTGGGCATTAGCAAAAACAAACTCTGATTTGATAAAATCAAATTAGATAATTCTTCAAATCTTTTCATAATTAAAGTCATAAACAAAGAACCAGATCAGATTTGATCAGATCAAATCAAATCAAACTTCAAATCTTCTCAAGATTTTCTGCATGAAAATAGGACAAAAGATTCCAAAATAACTCCACGAATTATACAACAAAAACTTTTTTGTTTGAAGATAATCTCCACCTTGATTTGCACCAGCAATATCTCTTACCAGAAAAGCACAAAAGGTTGCACAAAAAACGCAACAGACAAAACATAACATTCTGACTGAATGTTTTGTAAGCATATGTCAGGACATCATACTTGACATCATGAACTAAACCCTGTAACAACTAAAAGAACCACCTGCAGAATGTTAAGATCATATGTCAAGACATCATATAGGACATCTTGTGATAACACCATGTTTTACCAAAATTGCTGCCAATCACAAAACTAACACTCGTCACCTTCCACACCATTTCTTGATCGATTCCCATATCTTGGAAGGAACATCTTCAATCCTCTTCAAAATCCTCGTGTTACTTTGATTAACATCAGAGTCACCGATTGAGTGACAACATAAAATTGAACCTGCCGAGTAATGCAATAGAGAATCGGAAACTACTGTATCAAAATTTGGAGTCGAAGATTGTGGAGTTCCTATAGGGAATGAATTTGGGGGCTGATTAGGGATTTCAGCATGGATAAGGGCAGAAAAATAGGAAGGGGAAAAAGGAATTTTGATTTTATGGTAAATATTATTTAGAAATTTTTTTCTTTCTAGGTCTGGCCTTGGCCAATGGGCCAACAATAACCGGCACATGATAAGATATTGGGTCTGTGCCCAAAATATCTACATCCCCCAAAAGCTCATCAAGTCTTACATTGGGGTTCCCTACCAAATCTTCATGAACGAAATCCACCCTTTGGCTTGCCAAAATCTGAGGGTACCTTACCACTGGCAAGTCATGTTCGGAAATTTCTGGACTTGACACGTGTTTTTCCCTTGTATTAATTGCGTTGTCCTTTCCACCTATAACCTCTGCCCAAAAATTCTTCAGTAATCCTAGACCTGTACCTACCACCCCTTCAATGATACCTATTTGCTTGCTATCTTGTCTATCCCCCACCATGCTTTTCTGACATCACACCTTTTGAACCATCTCCAACTTGGTATCCCAAATCTCCACACAAATTAAGATCATATGAATTTCCTTCGTCTTCCTCCTTCGTCGTACCTTTAGAATCACCATCGTCACTCTTAGAGGGTAACTCGTCAAATTCCTCAAACCTCCTTTTACCCCGACGTTTAACAATCCTCAAAGGTCCGTGCAAATCTTTAACAAGTTTGATTCTGAAAATGTTGTCATTAACCTCAATATTAAAAACTTCATTGAGATTAATGGAAAATTTAGTTCTAACTAGAAACCTAATTATGTCCAACTTCAAGTGTTTTTCTGTATCCTCATCTGATCTTACATATTCACCAACTCTCCCAACAATAAACCTGAAGAACTTAGCACACGTTACATGGCAAGGAAGGCCATAGCAATGTATCCAGGTGAGTCTCTCTTTATCCACATATAATGGAGACCATGGATGAATTTTAGAGAACCACCTGTATACCCAAGCCTTTGCTTCCGTGACCATGTTTCTAATTTCTCCTTCTCCCTCTTCCTCAAGGAAACACAAATTTGCACCAAGTGGAGTGGCTTTTATATGAACGAAACCTTCATAATGTAACACCTCTTGCACGTCATATGTCGTTATGGATTTTTCCATCATACCAACAAATGCTTTCTCAAATCTAATCAAATCCTTTTTCTCAACATTGTACATCAAATGAGAAAAAGTTGACTTATCTCCAAGCAAAAGATGGCGCTTCGAGTTATTTACTCCAACATTATGCACATTGTTACCTTCCACTGCTTGAGCGTAAGAACACTTCAAAAAGGAAGGGCCACAGGGGTGCTTTTCTGATATGAAATGCCTTTTCCCACTTTCCCCTTGAGCAACATAACTCAGGACACCAGCTATCTCAACCCCCTTAACAAATTTTCGTTGGAAGCGAGGAACCTTCACATATAACTTTTTGCCATTAACCCTAATATTATCTAGTTTAATAGCAAGTATCCTTTCATCAACAACCTTCTTGAGTCGAACAAAGCCATAACATTTTCAACGCTTGTCTCTTTTAGGTGGAATAATAACTTCTTCAACCAAAGTGTGTTCCTTGAAAACATCAAACACCTGTTTAGCCTCATAATGTTTAAGGAACTCGGTGAAGAAAAATGTCGAAAGATTCGACTCCTCCTTGCCTGCTTCTTTCCCTCCTTGAGCAGTCCAGATTAATCTTATTGCCATCACCAACCTCACTGATCATCTCTGTTTAACCTCCACTCACTCACCATGCTTGCCATCCATGGATAACGTATATACCAGATTAAAAATTTTAATCACTCAAAAAAAACCTTCTCAACTAATTACAAACTAAACTGCCAGACTAAGTCAATATTTATCTAAATATAATAAGAGTTTATACTCAAAAAGTTGTAGATTCAACTCTGTAAGATTATACTCAAAAAGTTTATACTTAAAATTTATAAAAATATCTCAAAAATTTAACAGTGAATAAGTTAATACTCTATTTAAATAAAAAATAAAAAATTAAATGAATTTAAATCGAATATTAAAATTCTAAATTCTCTAAATAATTTCAATGACCTCATCAAATACAGTTTAGTTAAGATATAAAATTCTCTTATGTATAAATTATTTCCGATTAGAAAAAATTGAGTATTGTCATTTATTATATCTGAACTTGTCGGTAGTAGTTGTTGAGTAGTAAATGCAGTAAAAAATCCAAATGATTTTCAATTCTTGTACAGAAATACCGTAAATGACAAACAAAATACATAATCCAAGAAAGTTAGTGGTAGAATATTGGAAAGCAAATTATTGATTAAAGTTTATTCCATATAATAATAGTGCATAACTAATACGTTATACACGATATTGAGTACACACATACAATTCAGAAACAACACAATAGATAGATGCAGTGTTGTTCATTTATTCATATTATATATGAGTGTTGTTGGTGTTGAAGAAAAGGGATTTAACAGTTTTTAGTGCACCAACAGCGAAAGTCATCCCTGCATCTGCCGCTAATAGCGCCCTCCTGTTTTTTACAGTGACCGTCACATCCACCGAAGCATACTCCCTTATATGAACCAGCCAAATTCTCACATGTGTTTGCTTCACTCACCACTATTTCTTCTGCATCATCCAAATTAATATAATAATTTGATATATTAAAGACATAGCAACGAAATTAATGATATACGTGCATAAACCTTGTTGTATTCAAAATCATGAATAGATATAAGAAAGGCATTATATAATAATTGAGTAATATATACTAAGAAAGATGAGTTAATTACGTGCAACAAGAAGAACGAGGAGGAGGAAGGACAAGGCAGCTACTGATTTCTTCTCCATGGCTTAATTATGCTATGTGTGTGTTTGATATATATGATGATTGTAAGACGCATATATATAGCCTCAAAGGGCTTTGACTAGTAAGAGACATCTTCATAAATTTAAATTAAAAAAAGAAGAAAAAAAAAAACAACAATTGTATCTTTTACACCTTTTATTTGTATACCAGCACAACACTTTTTTTTTTTATAAATTAATTCAGTTAAATAAATAATTAATTCAAATTAATCAATCACATTTTTCTGTATAAATTAATAATTTTTTAAATCATTAATTACATGTGTGTTTGTTTTAATTTTACAAAAATAAAATTTCCTCTTAAAGTTTGAGGTCGAAGGTAGGTTTTGAGATGCTAATGAATCATAGGTTGAGGTTATTCCTCTTCCAGATTCATTTTTTATAATTTTCTTTTTTTATTTCTATTAAGAAGAAATAAAAGGTGGGTGAGATTGGTAGGTGAGTCGATGGGTCTTTAGTCTTAAATTTGTAATGGAGGAGACCTCTTTTTGATTATGAGCATGATTTAACAGATAATCTAATTTTGGCTCTTTAAGGAATCACTCTTACGTTGGAGTGTGATCATTTGTGTTAGTCTCAAAGGGAGAAGAGGTCTACTCTATTGCATCTGCATATGGTGTACTTTTGGCAGATAGTCTTGATTTTAGCACATGAATGTCTTCTATTGACAACTTCTTCAAGATAAAATTTTAGCTAGAGAGACTTTGTTTAAGAGATGGATTATTATTAATTGTGATGGTTTATCTTGTAGGTTGTATTGAGTCTATTGAGTTTGTCTCTCATTTGTTTGTTATTTGCAAAGAGTTGGTTAGTATGTGGTATAAGATTTTAGGTGATAAGATAGGGTAGTGGTCTCGCAGAAGAATTTAATATCGTTGTTTGGGTTTTTTTTTTCTTTCTTGGAGGTTAGGTTGGAATTAAACAGGGTTATCATGATTTGGCACTACCCTAATCACTTCATCTTTTTCATGTACGCCAATTAAACAAGAAGACATGGAAGATAGGAGTATCTCTCTCGCTTATAAATTATACTATCCTCTGTTTGAGCCAATAATTATTCAAGAGTATGATCTAATTTTCTTGGAGTGTGGTTCTAAGCTGCCTTACGAGAAAGTTGTTTTTTGATGGTGATTCTCTAATCTGAGTTCTGGTCCGACTGTAATTGTGATCTCTATGGATATGAAAGTTTACAACTTTACTTTCCTTCTTTTTTCTTCCTTTAGTTTAGTTTTAGAGAGGCGCGTGTGTATTTCTTGTATTGTTTGTCTTTCACATTTGTATTTGTTATCTTTGTACACTCCCCACTTTATGATATCTATATAATTTTAATATTTGGCTTTAACAAAATGAAAAGAAAACATTTTTTTTAAAGTAAATAAATTTCAATAATAATTATTATGAAAAGTCATTTAAAATAATTTATATTTAAACAATTTTTTAAAATTTTGATATTCAAAATAGTTCTTATAAAACTATATAACACTATACAAATGACTTTTTGGAAAGTATTATTTTAAATATTCTATATTTTTATAAGAACTTTTTTGAATATCAAAATTTTAAAAAATTATTTAAATATAAATTATTTTAAATGACTTTTTTGATGAAAATATTCTTATATAGTTTTATGTTAGAAAAATTTAATGAATGTATAAAAGAGACCTTTTTGAATAATGTGGAGTATTTTGGATAATAGTCTTACATTGAATAGTCTCGCATAGAATAATAGTCTCAATTGAAAAAACTCAATAAGAATTAATATCAGACATAAATACTGACTCCAAAATCAACTCGTCTATATATATATATATATATATATATATATATATATATATATATATATATATATATATATATATATATATATATATATATATATATATATATATATATATATATATATATATAAAAGACACTGTCAAAATAATAATAGCCTATCATCACAATGGATTAACCTTTTTATGCAGTTTTTTTATAAATAAATTAATTAATTTATAATGAAAGTAATACAAAATGGAAACTTTTATTTTATTTTAGGAAATTATTTTAATATTTAATTATTTTTGTTATATCAATATCCAGAGTTAAAACTTATTCAAAAATTAAATATACTTCAAAATTAATTCTTATTAGGAAAATAATATCAACATTAAATTGAATGATTGCTACAGCCTACTTATCTAACTAAATTTTTAAACAAGAGAGTTCACTTATGTGAAGTATCTTATCAAATATAATATATCAAATATTTAATTATTTTACGTTTTTAAGTTGTGTTTAGCATGATACATTTTTGAGTTTATTGTTTATAACTTATAAATTTATATGACAATAAAAAATTTATTTAATAATGGTCTTTTTATCATGAATTTTTAATTTAATTTATTATTTTATAGCTTGTTTCAAAACGTTATTTCAAATAGGGTTTTACTTCATACCTTATATCTTATTATATTTATTTTTATTTTTATCTTTAATGTTTTAACTAAAAATCAATTTTACCATTTATAATTAATTTAAATTTAAAATAAAATAAGCATGTGTTAAATATTTTTTATGTCATTTTACATTTATAAGTTAGTTGAGTAGTTAATTTGTCAAAGACTTTAATTAACTTATTAGTTATTGGTCTATCAATTATAAATTATAAATCATTCATCATCAATTATCAATCATAAACTATAAACTATTCATTAGTTTTTTATCTAGTTGTTATTTTTATAAAACAGAGTCCTAACTATTTTAAAATAAAAATTTGATATATGTTATAATCACAATATCCATGAGGTTTAACTAGGAAGAAACATACAAGAATGGCAAAGGAACATACATCTGTCCATTTAGCTTTGTCTTACGAGAACTAAAAAGAATAAGAGAGATTAACATAGTTGATGAGACAAGTCTAAAATTTTAATCTATCTCGAAAAAAAATGAGTGTGGGTGAAGTCACATACAATAATTACAAAAAAAAAAAATTATATTAATGTTTGCATCAGTAAAGTTCTGCAAGAAAACAGAACTAAGCGGTACATACATATTAGAATGTGTAGATGTAAAACCTTCACATGTCATAAAGAAAAATAAGTATAAAACATACTTGGCAGAACAGACACTTTTATCAGATGCCACAATGAAAAAGAAGTTTCATAAGATAAAAGATGACACAAGTTTGTGTTTTCAATTTACAAAAAAAAAATGTATGTATTTTCATTTTTAAAATAAATTTTGTATTTTTACGCAATATTATTAAAACTGGATCGAATTGACAGTTCAATTAGTTGAATCAAAAATCAAAGTTAAATTTGGTCTGGTTAACTTTTTAAAAGTTGCTAATAGGTTAAAATCGAAGTAAAATTTTAAATTTCGAATTAAACCGTTCAAAATCATTCGAATCAAATAAATTGAACCAGTTTTATAAAACCGCCCAATTTTAAAAATATATGAAATTGAAATTTTTTTAAATATTTTCTTTTGCAAAGTTTAATATTTCAATATCAAATTTAAAACTTTCCCATTCATAAAAAAAATAAATTAATTCTTTATTTTGTTTATATTATAGTTTTTCTTTCAACCACGCTCCATAATCATCATGACGTCTCTTTCAAATATAGTCACATTTTTCAACTTAGTATTGATTGTCGTTTAACTCGACATTGTTTGTTGTTGTCCAATTATGACTTGTTTGTCGTCATTCAACTCGAATTTGTTTAATGTTGTCCAATTAAATATATTTTATTGTTTATTTTTTGTAATTTGATCGTATTTTATTTAGATATTCTTAATTATTTGAATTTTATTTTAGGTATTATGTTCTATTATTTTAATTTTTGTTTGAATTTATTTCTTATTTTATTATAACTCTTTAATTTGTTCAAATTATTTTTAAATGAATATTGAAATTATGTGTACAACTATGATGTGTTATTATGTGTCATGTTGATCCTGTTGAATTTAGTTTGTAATGAATTTTTAGAATATTTATTTTATTTAGTTGTGAACATATGATTGTGTATGATATATTTTAAATTTAGTTTTATATTATTAATTTATTTAATATACAGTTCGACCGTAGGTTTAACCAGTTGAACCAATTAAATTTTAAATTAAAAATTTCATTGATTCGATCTTTGATTCAATTTTTAAAATATTACTTTTATAGAAAAAGTCAATAGCGTCGGGTGTATAAGAGGGAAGCTTATCTTTTTTCTTATAAGCAAAAAATTTATTAATCGGAGCATAAAGGGTACTCTATCCACATAGAGGATCTTTGCTAACCAATACAAGGAAGATAAACTCCAAGAAGCAAAATTACAATCATCACACTCTTTGAAGTTATTGAAAACCCATTTCTAATTGAGACGTTTAACAAAGAACAACATTTTTGTAACGTCTTTGAATCTCCCTTAAACAACACATTATTCCTACTAATCCATAACACCCAACAAAACGTTAGCCAAAATAAACCTCTAATAGCTTGGGAAATTTTAACATTAGGAAAAGAAGCTAACAAATTCAAACTCTCTTCCAAAGGCTGAACCGAAACATGAGGAACCACATCCAGCCTCAGGAAAACCTTGCTCCACAAATGCTTGACAGCCAAACATAACACAGAGATGACATGAAGATTCTTTCTCACAAAAATAGCGAGGGAAAGACAAATTAGAATTGAGGAATAAAAAATTTCTTTTGGCTAATTCCATTTGAGTCGGCAAAATGTTAAGCATAAGACGCCAATCAAACATGAGATAATTGCTTGGTGCTTTAATTTTCCACATCCTGCCAAGACAACACACAATTGAAGCTAGAAAAATAGGACTACATTTTAATATGCCAACCATTGAAGACAAGATTTAATAGAAAAATTAGAATGGTCCCTCCATCACACAAACTTGTCTTCAACTCTAGGATTCAAATGGATATTGTTTTGGACTGGGCCGGGTCCTGCCCCTCAGTCGCACAGGCCCAATCCAACATTACGTTGG